AAAAAAGATTAAAAATAGCCCTCTGAAAAGCAGCAAGGTATTAGTGGCTCATCTTGAAGAGAGTGCAATTGAGTTCATATTTTGTCATGCGAGTGATGCGCAGGTTTTTAAGAGAAGCAATTAAAAACAAGTTAACTAAGTCCCATAAATCCTTTGCGTGGAATTCTGCTGCAATTCAAAAAGAGTTTATAGAATACTGCTACTTATCTGCTTGTATGCTTTGTTAAATACACATACATAGGTAAGCATATATACGACGCTGTCAGATGGATAGTTAAGGAGCAAGGAATATAAATATATTAAATTATAACTAGCTGACTACAAAATGAGATATGCATACAATTCAGTGCACACAATACTAGGAAATATCGACCGCTTATCATAAAACTAGTCAACTTAACTTATACAAATAATATTCGCAAAGAATAAGCTAAAATAATCTTTTAGTAATAAAATTATTAAATTATTAGGTATATGATATCATTCATTATATTATAGTAAAATAATATGGTCTTTTTGTTATATCCTATTCGTAGCTCCAGTATATCCTTTCATTAACGCAATCTAATTCCGATGCTGCTCAGATGTAACTATAGAAAATGTCGTCAAAAAATATCTAATCAGGCTTTTATAACGTATTGCGGTCACATTTTTTGCGTTGATCATAATCCTTGGGGTTTTAAGCCTGTGTCGAGTGGAAATTTCTGTCCATCCTGTGGTGAACCACTAACAGAAGATTCACATGTCCTTCAAGTATTAGAAATATTCTTATTTGAACAAAGAGTGATTTTTTATTGATAGAAAAAAGGAAAACTATGCTTTTAAATGGTGTTAACCCTGAAACGGTTTTAGAAATAGCTAGAGAGGCATTGCTATTTTATTGGCGTCAAACAATAGAATATGCACAATACATGGAATACTGTGTCAAAAAAACTTTAGATCAATTTGAAAAGAGGGAATTAGGCTATAAATCTCATCTTAGTAGATTGGAACAGGAAAAACAACAGGTTTTACTCCATGCTGAACAAGTAATTCATTATTATATCATGCTCCATAGAGGGAAAGTTATTCAGAAGAAATAAAAGATAAATTAGTCCTAGCCAATCAGCGAATTTCAGCACTTGAGGCTCAGATACAGACTTTAAATGGCCAACATTTGGATTTTTCTAAGAATATAAAACAATCAATGAATCCACTTAATCAAAAGCAATTCTTAGCAAAAGAGAATGTATTCTCAAATAGCTGCATTTTAAAAGATCAGGAAAGAAAATTCAATAATGATAGAGTTAATAAAGCAATATTTATGTCTGGGGATTCCTTGTGCATGCCGGTTGTAAAAACCCGCCCTAATGAGCAAAAACCAGATAATTACTCGGATACAGATTCGCTGAGTATGCTTAATCCTCTTCGATTTAATACATCTTTCAAAACTACCAAAAGCAAATTTGGTAACCTTATTTTACCTTTATTTTTAAGCAACACCACCATCTTTTCCATTTAGACATCGCGACCGCAGAAACTTATGAAAGCTAAACATCAGGCTTTTCGTCCAGTTTTATATTGATGTATTTCTAAAAGCTAGTTTTTTCTCATTTCATTCTTTTAAGCATAACTATCATGGCTCATAGTAATTGTTTTCTTATGAGTTAAATATTGCCTTAGTATCTAAATTGGATGGCTGATGCTGATATGGCTAATATTAATACTTCTGTATTTAAAGTTAATATGATAGCAAAAATGATGTTATTCAAAATGGATTATCTCTTTCTTCACCAAAATTTTCCTTTCTTAATTTCTTTAGTAAAAGAAATTATGATTTAGATAGTTAATGTGGAATGGTTAACTGTGTCAAACTTTCATAGCATAATTACAAAAAATTTTAAATATGAGAGTTCTCCTATTATGAAGCAAGCAATACAACATTCATCATTATATAGCATCATTTTCACAGTGTATCTAATTTTTGCTCTGCTTATTATTTTATATAATAGGGGGCAGAATTCTCATTAATCCTTGATAGGCCAAAGGTAATTAAATTGCCAGATTGAATCCTATTTAAATAAATTGTCATACTTTTCAGCATCCTACCAAATCCTTGCAAATGGCTCTTGATTTTAGTTATTTAGAAGTATAAGTCCCAATTTAAATA